CCCCCCCCCCCCCCCGCGGGCTGCGGGAAGGAGACGGCCTGCCCGGGAAAGAAGAAACTGAGTCTCGGGTTTCCCCGAGAGTGCAGCTTGTCACGCTCTCCCCGAGTAACCGTAGCAATCACTTCTGTCGAGGGGCTCCACTCTTTTGTATTGTAAACTGAGAGAGTTGACGTAAAATGTGGCCTCCATGAGCCGTTCCAGCTGTGGTCCCACACATGGGAGAGTCTAGCCCTTTAGCTTGGATGCAGTTTGGTTTGGAAGGAGGTTTGAATAGAGGAGCAGGACTCAAAGCTCCTGTTCGCAATGTACTGAGAGTAGGATCCTTGACAAGAGACTTGCCTCACTGACCGTTGCATCCTCTGTAAAGCAAGGACAGTAACACCTGTTTCCCAGTCCTGTTGTGAGGACTGAGTTGGAGGGCCAGTGCGAAGTTGGTTGGTTGTCAGCTGTAGCATGGCTCTGAGCCTCCTGTTTTTTGTGTGTGATGACAGTGAAATGGCCTAAGGTCCATTAGAGCTCAGCGTCTGAGAGGCCTCCAGGCCCTACTAACTCCCGGCCCAGCTCACACAGGACAGTGCCAACCAACTCTGCAGTCTCCTGCCCATAGAGGGAGACTCGCGGTCCCATCTGCGCACTTACAGTATCTAATTCAGGCGTCCAGCGTTCTTCCTTCTTGCTGTTCTAAAGAACAGGAGCTCAGGCCTTGAGCATCAGTGTGAACATGCGGAGTCTTGGAGCCCAGCTGAGTTTCAGTTTCTTCCTTTGCCCAGTGAGAACCATACTTGCCTTACTCAGGCCTAAATTTCATCTGGTGAAGGACCGGAACTTAATTAACCCTCCCTGTTTTCTCTGAATCAGGGTGAGCTCAGCAGAAATGACTTCTACATCATCACTACCAGATGCCAGTTTTAAAGAGAGAAAACATGGGGAGGAAGGGGATTGACATGAGAAGTGATTTGACAAGAGAGTTCTAGGAATCCTCACCCAATAACATGTTTGTTTGTTTGTTTGTTTTTAACATTTACATTTTTAACTTTTTTTTTTCATTTTTAAATTTTTTTAATGGAGGTACTGGGGACTGAACCCAGGACCTCTGGCATGCTAAGCGCATGCACCACCACTGAGCTATTACCCTTCCCTCAAACAACATGTTTTAATGAAAAAAGAAGTGTGGGATTCTAAAAACAAGTACCACATAATTCTGAATAGTTTCATACAAAACTCTTGATGGGGGAAAAAAGTTAAAGGAAGACAATCTCAATTTAATACAAAATATTTCCTAGTTAGTGGAAAGGGGCAGGAGGTGCCTTTGGGTGGACAACTGGTAACTCCATGTGCCCTGTACAAACGGGCTTCCTTCTGGGAGAATGCAGAAGCCCACGATGGAGACACTATCAGTGAAGCTTAGTCTGCCTTTCCCATTTGGCAGTGTCCCAGTCTCTCTTTAGTAATGATTTGCCCTGATGCCCAAAATGCAAGCCAGAAAAGAAAATGTGGATGCCCTATGGGACATGTACTGCATTAGGTCTGGTGCCTCCACTGGGCTGATTTTGCCAAGAGAGCCTTGGAAGGGAAGAGTAATGGATAGTAGGAGAGGTAGTAGGAGGGGGGAAACAGCCAATTTCAGCAACAAGCTTGTGTTACAGCAAATATCAGGGAACAACTGACATTTCACTTTCTTGATCCTCCATTAAAAGTACTCCAAAAGGAAAACCATCAGGAGCTCAAAGAAATAAGCAATATTTACTAGGAGAACCCCCCCCCGATAGTGGGGGAAATTTGAATAAAAGAAGCTGTAGTTTAATGACACAGGCTTCTATCAAAACACTGCCTAAAGGCGCCTCCACTAGGATGCAATCCATCTCAGATACACTCTCTGTGAATCACATCTGTGCAAGAATTTTCTTCATCAATATATTTTCTTTCATATATTTTCCACTTGCACATGTACATTTATTTAGTTGTAGGAAACAATGAGGTATATTGGATCGGAAATCAGGAAACCAGAATTCTGAGTCTGTTACTCAGTAGCTAAATGACCATTAATGCCTCAATCTCCTAAGTTGTAAAATAGTCAGATGAGACCTATTCCTCCTGTCCAATACAGTTATTGAGTATAGATTTCATTCATTTATTTCTTTATTTAAAACTATTCATTAAAAGTCTTCTACATATTCTGGGCATCAAAGGAAGACAAATTCTCTTTCTTACTTGTTTACATCTAGCAGTAAAATGTTCACAATAGGTAAGTAAACAAAAAAACAAGATGATATCAATTTGTGAAACCATGAAGAACTACACAAGACACTGAGATAGCACGATGGCAAAGGTTTTATCATGGAGATTGTAGTTAATCTGAATTTCCTAAATCGTGTATATTATCAGTGATTATGTTACTCTGTAATATATCAGCTTAAACATAATTTCCAAGGTCTTTAACTAAGAATTTTGATATTAGATCAAGTAAATTGGTGAATAATCTTTATTTTTAAATTTAATTTTATTTTTATTGAAGTATAGTCAATTACAATGTGTCAATTTCTAGTATACAGCATAACGTCCCAGACATGCATATATATATATCCATAATATATATACATATATTCATTTTCATATTCTTTTTCATTAAAGGTAAACTGGTGAATAATCTTTAGATGACTGGATAATTTCTAAGGAAGACTGAATACAAAAATATTGGTCACCAAGCATGGTATGTACACACAGACATACTTATTTTTAGATATTTGAGAGTAAATAAGCCTTTGGGGTATATTAATATATATGTTCAATTTTGCTACTGTAGAGATGTAAAAGGGATGTGTGTGGCCATAGGAAGTTTTATAATGTTTGCTTTGGTGGTGGCTAAATGTTTATAT